AGGCTAATGAACACTTCCACGTAGTTCATAGAATTTGCCTAGATCTGAGATATCTTTGAGATAAGTAAGTGCAACACTCCCTATAGCAAAAGCAGCTAAATGACACACTACCAAGGCCACAAGGAAACAAAAAGTTCCAACCACTTCTTATGAGGAGGCGGAATCAGACCTGCATGGCCTGCTCTGTCATATTAGCATTTTAAAAAAATCAAACAAAAAAAAAAAACCCCAAAACCAAAACCGGTGGATTATGCCTTAAATCACGTGTACTAAACACACAACCCTTCTCTCGCAGGACCCCTTGAGCAGGAACAGAGCAGCAGTCACCAGAGAAAAGACACCAACTTGCACTTTTTACAAGGACAGAAAAGCAGTTTCTGAGGCCATCGGAGAAGGGTGCGGCTTGCAGGGCAGTTATCAGAGCAGGGAACAATACACCGAGCTGAGGAGTCCTATCTCTTGCTTTTCATCAGGAAATAGCAGTTAGTTTCCTTATTACCAGCTGCCTGGGCAACTCATTTAAGCTTCTTAGGAAACCAGAAGAACAATTAAGCTGGGAGTAACTCCCTTGAAACATGAAGATGCAGCACACTTACTTATCCATATCTGCACAGCTCGTCAAATGAGGTTTAAAGAAAGATGACCTTTGATTTAATGCTAAGGTAGTCAGTGCTCTTTGAATCATTCCATGAGTGAATAATAAAAAAAAAAAAAACCTCCAGGACAATAAACGGTAGTGTTAAAGGCAAACTAAAACAAAGCTTGGCCCATTTGACAGGTTCACATTTGCACATTTGTTTTACCACAACTGAACATCACTAGCAGTAAAGAGGCTAGATGACTTCACAGCTCAGCAGCCTCTTCACTTTAAATTCGGCACAGAGTAACAGTCAGCTTTTTTGACCAAAATACCATTTTGCTGAATTCCTGACACATGCCAAGAAGCCCATCACAGATTGCTGGGCTCTTCCCATTGCTTGTACCTAGGAGGCTATGACTTTTGGACATTTGATGACAGTGCCCTTGAGCTCCTTTCACTCTTTTGACAACTGACCCAGGTTGTTGCAGCCTCTCCCATTGACGCCACTACCAAAACATTGTTTTGCTGCCTTTTATGAAAGCTGAGTGGATGCATCAATAAGCAAGTGAAATGGATAAAGAAATAAATGCTAGCATTTCATGCCCTCACTTAGAGACTTGAATTAGGAAAGTCACAGCAGGCTCAAAGAATTTTTCACTATAATCCTTTTAAAAATGAGTTTGTAAGAGCATATGCAAATATTTACCCTCAATCTAGTTCTGAATGCATTAGCAGGGTGTTTCACAGGAAGGCCATTGCTTCACTCCCCATTTCCTGAAGAGGTTACAGCAATCCACCAAGGCTCCAGCAATTAAACCCTCACCTGGACCAGCCTGCTCCCAGCAAGGGGTGGCAGCCCAGCAGGAAGCCCTCCCTGGCTATTGCTCTCCCACTTGCACACTCCACTTAGTGCTGCAGTCTGGAGAAGGCTGGGCAGAGTACTTACTGTTTTTTCTTCTTCCTCTCCAAAAAAACCCCCACAGATTTACAGGGAAAAAAAAAAAAAAATCTCAGAAAAGCAATTTCAATTACCTTATGTATAATTACATTCAACCTTTTAACTGCTGATTACGAAGTATTTTTTTAACCATGTGCTTCAAAGAAAACAATTACTTTTACCTCCAAGGAACACACCCAATCACCACTTACTTTTACACCTGCAATCAATTTTGTTCACTAATATTTATATTTATGCTTGATAATCAGGGAAACATCCACAGTATTTGTGCTTGCAATTAGCAATGCCTGCAGTGAGAGGGAGGCTGATTCTAACAAATTAAATAATGGAACCAAAAAGCACAGCAGGGAAGGACCTTCTGGAACAGCATTAAGCCATCTTCAAGTATTAATGACAAGTATCTTTTATTTCAGAGGGAGCTGCATTAATAAGAAATACAGTATGACATTGGGATGGAGGTAAGAAACTACAAGCAGAGACAGGGAGCAGGAGATGTCCCAATGGTTTTGAAGTGTGGAACTGGATGATTCAAAACATTTGACATGGTCTGTGCTCGTCTCTTGGCTGGGCCTGGCACAGACCAGTGTGACCTTTTTAGCTTTGCTCCCATCTACACCATTCTTGCCCTGATGGGGTACATCGTGGCTGCCAGGGAGAGGCGCACGCCAGCATGCTTACATCTCACACGGCCTTCAAGGTACATTGTTGGTGAGGCACAATTTACAGGTCAGGCAGTAAGCTAACAGAGAATTACGAGGAGGATTAGCTGCAATCCTACCTGACCTTAGCTCTGATGTGCTTCTCTGAATTGTTAGGCTGGCAATACGGCCAACTTTCTTGCTTTGCTTCCTATTTATGGTGCACTTGTGAAAGCAGAGATTTAGCCATGTTCCACAGATGATGAAAAAAAAAAAAAACAAAACTCTATCACCTCAAAGTCATCTTTGATGTTTAACCAAACATTAGTTCTTACGACGGCTGTTACTTCCGTGTGATTTTCAGTAATTCCAAGAAAAAAAGCAAAATACTTCATTCAGTGTCTAGACTGCAAGAAGAATCAGCTAAAAATATCTGTGCTAAGATTGTTTCTCTTGCAACAGGGCTCACTTTGGATTTTTCTCTGACACACTTTAAACTAGATGATTGACTGCTTCCAATATGTAACTGAAAATATGTACAGCAAAAGGAAACCTTGGATTAAGGGAGCAAAATACATGTTTTCAGATGAAATGCTAAATGCTCTGGGTCTTTTTTTGAAGCCACAAAATGCAACTGCAGATGTATTTTCCAGATTCACACCCATTGTAGAATGGGACAACAGATTTCACAGCATAACAACCAAGCTCGATATACAGAAATGGAAACAATCCAGCTGAAATAAACACCAGGAAACAGTTATTTGTTTGTTTATTTAAGCAAACATAAAACTATCCATTTGCAAATCTCATTAGGTTTGCATAACTTTAATTTCTTTTTTTTTTTTTACCTTTTACCAAGTCGTCTTATCTCCCAGCAGCTCAACAGGTAGAAGCAAGTAGAATGACCAGTCCCTTTAAATAGTGTTAGAAAGCTTCAAAATAACAGCATAGCTTGTTGGAATGGACATGTACAAACATGAGTTGCAGAACAAGAGATATATTTCGCACTATGTGTATGTAAACATATATCGAAATACAAGTGGGAGAAGGCTTTCAATTTGTCTGGTGATTTTTCAGTAGGCAAGGAGGCATAATTACGAGGAGACTGTTTTTTTTCTTTTTAGTTATTGTTACAGTCTCCTCATTTCAATCTGACAGCACACAGGGACCTCAACATGGCATAAATGTCATTTACTCTCACGAAAGGCCTTAAGACGCTACTAGAACTGTGTGAAGTAAATACAGTGTCCCTAAGGTGAAATAGCAGATTTGAGGAAAAAAAAGCTGCCACTAGAACTGGGGAAAGTAGCAAAAGGCTGTTTCACTAATCCGAGTATCCTGAAGGAAAATGAAACAAACAGCTATGAACTGCTGACGTGATCTCTTACAAAGTGCAAAATGAAAGTTTGAGTAGACTGAAAAAAGTATCAAATAGAGCTATCATTTTTTTGAATGGGTATTGTATTAGAACAAGTTCTTTGCTAATTTATTTTCAAAGACCATATTTAGGCCAAGAAGTGAAAAAGCTGCTAGGGCCAAGATTTAAGAAATACTGCTTATCTTTTAAAAATCCACAGGGGCAAATGAATGGCCTTTGTGCTTTTAACTATCTTGTAGTACCTCCCAGCACTCAGCCTTTCAGATATTTAAATTTAATCTAGTCAGCAGCTCTACTGAGAGAAGTCCCTATTAAAAGCCTCCCCATTCATTCAGTAACATTGTTTAAAGTCATATATGAACCATACAGGAGAAACACTACAAACCTCACACACAACTGAGATGAAACTTTAAAAGATGTTTCTTATGTAGACTGCTGCACTGCGTGACTTCTGAACTCATTTCCATCTAACCTTAAAAACACTTATATGCTGTTGATGTTCAATGAAAACAGTTGGAGATGGATGAGCAAACGGTCAGATGAAAGATACCAAAATGTCAGACAGCCTACCGACTGTTGTTGCCATGAGATCCAACAGTCAACATCAGTCTGATAAGCTATCCGACAGGATGGTACAGCCATGGAGATGTCACGACGGTTGGCAACACAAGAGGACATTCAGGCAGGATTGAACAAAATACATATTCTCACACCTTGCTCGAGATCTGCCCTAGCCTCGTGCAGGGATAAATCTAACCTGAGCAATAGCAAGATCTAATCTACTTTGTGCTCATATGCCACCTTTTGATAACACTAATTGAAAGTCAAATTAATTCTTGTTACTTACCCCTAGGATAAAAATAAAAAACAATAGTTCAAAAGTTATTAAAGTAGTAGTACATATACAGTAGCGGTGGAATGGATATCTACTTACTAAAGAGGGAAAAAGATCCATTTTAATATTAGTTATGTTCATGTACATTAGAACTGGAACACACACCAATTCATAACAACGTTTTAGAGAGATCTGACTTTAAAAGCCTAAGCGTAAGGTTCTCTGCATCACTGCTGGGTTTGACATCAAGTCTGTTTTCAGCTGGAATCTTTACTCTTCCCCCCTCTCTTCTCCTTCATTGCCCACGGTGCTGTGATCAATGGCAAACATCTGAGAAGAATTTGTGATAACAAATATCACTAGCTATTTAACTTGCCTATTTTAACCAGTGAGCCGTACTTCAAGCCAGTGATATCCTTTCTACTTCCTTCTGCTAAGTAAGAAGTTCTTAAGAAAAAAGAAAAAAAAAAGAACAAAGGGCTTCAGCACCATTTGTGCAGGAAGCATGCGATTCATGGGATTAAGGCTTAATAAAGAAACTAAAGAAACTGAGCATACAAAAGCAGAGAGGAAAAGAAACAGCTTAAAAAGACTGACACAAGAAATTCTGGAATGATCAAAGATGACTTTATAAAGTTTTATCTTAACTTCATTCTAAATATACATAATAAAAAATGTCAGCTTCAGCATTTTGACATCAATCATCTCTGCTAACATCATGAAGTTTAAGAGGGTGGCTTTTCCAACCGAGAGCACGTGCAATGCGATGGGACACTGGAGAATTCAGATGGAATAGCCTTACCATGAAGGACATGCAACAGTTTGTATCCAATCGGTATTCATTTATATACATTTTGATGGCCTTGAAAGTTATGGAAAAAGCAAACCAGCCACCCTTCAAAATAAAAGGTTACCCTTAGGTCAGTCTGAAGTTAAATCGGGAAGTGGAGAGTATTAAATCATCAGTTTTGGAAGTAATTTGGATGGACGACACTTGCGTTAAACACCATTTAACATCACATTGTCCATCCTGTATCATACAACTCAGACTTGTAAAGCATTTATACCTTACCTTAACATTTATAAGTTTGTCAGTGAAACGTCTGCTCTAATATCCAAATTACTTTCAAAATTAAATCAAAACTTGTTATAGTTGAAAATTGATGTTAAAAAGTTTTCCCCCATTTTTGAATAATGCTGATTTTTAAACATATGGAAAGATGTGTCATTTTTTGTGTCTGCTAAAACCCATTCCAAGGTTTTTTTCCCAAGCTCATTTGGTTTTTTCTTCAGAGTACATCTTCTGTTGCAGTCGTTTGGCATAGCTCTGGGCCATGGAGTTGATTATAGATAAGATAAAATAACAAACCATGACAATCACCAATTTTTCAAACATCCAGGATAGCCAGTTTTCCCCCTAAAGAGACAAAACAGAAGAAGGAGGAAAATGAAGATTAGTGGACAGCACAATGGAGAAGTCTCCATTTTCTGGGTGAAAGAGAAGAGCCTAACCATTTTTTTTTTATTATGTAATTTATCAAATTAAAAACAGGAACCAAGTGCAAGCCGACAGGATTCCTGCAGGTCCCGCTGTAAAGCTGACTTTAGTCCCTTGAAAGACAATGCAGGAGGACTTGCCAAATACACTGCAGGGCAGATGATGAATCCTTGATCATTACTAGTGTGCTAGTGAAGTGATTTATTATTCCTAGTATTGTTTCGTCTTTGCTAACAATTCATGGAGTTCAGAATTAGCAACCCTGACTGTCATTCCCTGTCATGTTCATTGCAAAGAAAACAATAAGGTCATTGGTTAACAATGTTTTTTCCCTAAACTGCATATACTGTGTTATCTTCCAATTAGTATCCGATTCTTCTGGTGTCAGTAGAAGTTAATGCGATGACCTCGGCAGTCCCACTTCGAGCGTTTTCCATGGCTACTCTTAACTTGTATTTTTTTGTCAAAGGAGGGCAGCAATGCACTGCACAAAAATTACTTCAATGTGCATAAAAGGAATCTGCATATTTAGTTATTCCAGCCTGCTCCTCCCTAATTTAGTCTCTTTTGTGGTAAGAAATGGGCAAAGAAACATTTGTAAGAGCTACAAGTATTAGATGTGAAATGGGAGTTAGATTAATGGATTTTATCTAAAAATGCCATAGCATCCTAAGGAATTTCATTGCAAAGTTGTTCTGTCCCCACTAAAAATTCAGGATGTTTTTAAAAATACTTTTTTTTTTTTGGTATGAAAGGACACTTCTGCCCCTTTGTACTGAGTCTAAACACCGTATTTTTCTTTTCTGTTTGAACACAAAAGGCTCAGGGATTTTGTTTCTCTTATTGGCCATTAAGCCACAGATCTTACTGGCTTCTGAAGTATTGATGCTGCACACCGTTTGTTACCATTTCACATGTAAATGCAACTTTTTTCTGCTTAAATTTCTCTTTCAAAATAGGTGTGCTATTGGCCTTACTTTATTGTTTTCTTTATTCTCCAAGAGGTTTAAGTCCACTTTCATACAATTACAGTATTATTTTTAATTCCCAGGTTGCTTTTAAAATGAGATTTTTATCTACTCCCTAGGCCGCTGCAAATCTTTGAAAAACAAAATCAAGAGTTATACTGGTAAACCTGACAAGTCAGAAGACAGCTAGAGAAGGGAAAAATTAATTGGGGGGGGGGGGGGGGGGAGGGGGGGCAGAGAGGTTCTTACCTGTGGCACGCCACCGTCTGATTTGTGGTGAAGTTTTATCCTCTGAGCTTCCAAATACTCTTGAAATGGCTTCTGAAGAGAAGGACCTATACTTGGAATAGCACTGATGCAAAGTTCATCCCAAAGAACAGACAAAATAAGGGAGAAAAAAAAAAACAAAAACAAAAACATTTTTTTTTTTTAAAACTTACCACTTTGACCCAAACAGAACAAAGTTCAGACTGAGCTACAGCTCAGAAGGGCATTGCTACTTGAGAAAACATAACCACGAAATAAAGTGTATTTCGTCTTTTTATCTGATACTTCTGAAAGGGCCATATTTCCCCAGATCCCAAAAAGTGCTTAAAAAGAAAAAAAATTGCAGAGCAAACCAGTGACAATACACTGCTGGTAACACAGAAAGAAGCTGCGAGCTAGAGCATTTCCTTAAAGCCAGGGAGAAGCCAGCTGAGGCTCTGCACTGGTGCAGTGCTGAGAATCAAATGAATGACTTCTCAGAAGTCCCACATTTATCACCAGCAGTTCCTGTAAGAACTGGTTTGAACCGATTAATAAGGAAATGACTTGTGCTTGTGTCATCCCTCAGTTAAAAAAGAAACTGCTCGCCCTATGACTTGCCCCTATCTTCTCAAAGAAGACGGCCCCTTTCTCAAACTAAGTCCTTATTAGGACAATCTGTGCGTCATCCTTACCCAAAAAGAATGCATTAGCAAATTCTGCAGGCGCCTCCCACAAGTCAGTGATTAACAAAGGAACAAAGAAGGAACTATGAACCCTGTTCTGAATCATGCCATGGTTTATGGCAGATGACTTGCACAAAAGCTACAATACATAACTGAACACCTTGTTCTGACATTAATGTTACAAAGATCACGGATACGTTTTTGGAACTAAGAACCCTCTCCCACCTCTACGGCGTAAAGGTGTTGGCGCTGGACAGACTCACAGCAGCCCCCAACTTCCATTCTGCAAATACCACAGCCTGTCCAGACTTTAATCAGAAACAACCTAGGTAATTTTTCTTTATATCTATACACCATGCTATTTAGCAGGAAGTCCAAAGAGCCTTAATAATTGTCACAATACTTTAAAAAAAAAACCACCACAAACTTAAATACTATACAGAAGAAATTACCACTAACCACACCACTAGCTCGGCTGGTGTGGTGAGAACACACGCACAATCCGAAGGCTCCCAAGGTTTCATCCCCATATGTGCACCAACACTCCTAACCCCAGCCACGGGAGAGTTCCCATTACTGACAAGTGCCATTTTAACTTCAAAGAGAGCTAAGATCTTAACTTTTTTTTTTTTTTTTAATTCTAAAGAAATAATATGGTCTTCTACATTATGAAAGTCACCTAAATTTCAACACTTCAGGGAGGATTTAGTAAAACATGCTTCAGACACCAAGATATACATGGACAATTTTACAAACTGATCATCTCCTCTCCAAATGACTGTGGGAGGGCTAGGTCTCTCAAATTATTTTCCTCAGTCTTCTGATTTGACACAATATTCCATTTTCCAGGCTAAAGCCCAATTAAAAAAATAACAGCTTTCTAATCTTCAGAATTTATGAAAATGCACAGACCAAAGAAATGAAGTAGCTCACTCTCCTCCACTAAATCTATTTCCTTCAATAGCCAGGGGCAAATAATTTTTTTGAACATATTTACAAGAAAAAGATTGCTCCCCTCATGATTCACTGTCACAATGATACAAATGGGTGAGTAAATTCTGTGCCTAGACTGGTAAAATTTCAGGGGGAAAAAAAAAAAAAAGAGCAGAGACTAAGGCACATCTATTACACATTTTACACAAGAGTATGTCAACTTTTACAAATGATTTCCAGTTTTTCAGAACAGTCCCTTACGAAGCTGACTATTCGTGGTAAAAATGCTCCTAATGACTCGCCGATCAGTACGAGTCACAGTTTTAAAAAATGAGTTACATTTTGAGGTTTCTTTTCTTTTTCGAATGACACTTGGAAGCCCGGAAAAGCTACTGAAGGGTAATAGTTTACTTTTAAATTTCTGCATGATTATGAAATGAGGAATATTTAAATGATGAGAGATGAATGATTAACAGAATGGCTGTTCAAATACCTCAATTTTTTTTCTGAAAACTGAACTAAGTCAGTGCCCAATTAGCATTAAACAACAACACAAAGACATGAAAACCAAGTTCAGACGGCTTGAAGAGATCCTGGTGCATCAACACTGTATTTCAAAATTTTTTTCACTAAAAGTATTCAGCTTTTTTTTTTTGTGAGCATGACTAAGAATTAAGTACACAACATTCATTTTATTAAAGCTATTTTGAAGAACTCTAAGATCCTGAATGCGAGGCTTCTAAAAGTCTGCAATATTTTGCACATTCATCTAGAAAATCATGAATCCACAGTACTAGGAATAAAATTCTTGAAATCCCATTTCAGCGGGACAGTATCGGTTACTTGCACTCTTTCGACAAAATTCAATCATTTAATCAACCAGCTAACTCATATGTCACCTAATATCCAAAGTGTAGGCATAATCTTAGATCTGAAAGTCTTAAAAACCAGTTTTCATTTTATTTCATTACAAACAAGTGATTGGTATCCCACCACAACACCACAGACCTAGTGAAGTTCAACTCCCTAACCCTGTTCTTACCAAAGGAGGAGGGGGAAGACTTCAGTATAAATTTTCAGGGATTACACTCAAAACAGAGGCAGGTACACAGGCAGAAGGAGCAGATTTGCATCATAATTCTGCGCCACTTAGCAGTGACTCGAAGATACACCTTCAAAAGACTGCTGCAGTTTCAGGAGTCGACATGCAAACCACAAATGTATTTACACATCCGACTTAAGGAGGGAAGATGCTGGAAGATAACCCTGTTTGTAGAATAAAACCAATTCCTTGCATTTTCCTTTGAGAATCAAGCCTGTTGTCTTTCAAATAAAGACTAGGAAAGGGTAAGAAAATAAAAGGGCCTTAGTGCACAACAGAACGTAGCTCATTCACACTTTGTAGTCTCTATCTGCCAAAACTAAACACACAAAAAAAACCCCAAACACACAACCTGCTGTCCCTTCTTAAAGGCTTAGAATATAGGTCTTAGTGAGCTGCTTAAGGACTTCAATTAAAAAATAAAAAAAAATAAAAAACCAAAACCACAAAAACCCCATTCACAAGAAGTTGTGTGTAAAAATAAGCAATGAAATACATTTCACTAGTTGCTATCATTGTTATTAATCAATTTTGCAGTTAATCAGCAACAGGCAGGCACTCCTAGGAAGAGAGATGCTGTTCTTGTGTATTCTGTCCTTTCACCAAAATTTACTTGAAAAACAAAGAGACTAGCTACAGTTTTACCATAAGATTCAGAAAAAAATGCATTGATTTTTTTTTTTGAGGAAAAAAAAAAAAACTCTGAAGAAATTTTGATTCAGAAGACATTTTAGAAACACTTAAACACCAATTTTTTAACTCATTCTGATTCTCTGCTAAAATTGAATGTTTCATAAGGAATTGAAACTGAAAACAGACTTCCGAAAAATTGTACTAGCCTCTGGTATAGCCCAAATTCATTAAAATCGTAACATTTCAGTAAAAAACATTACTTGCATTCTAATACTACAACATAAACACCCATTAAGAATTTTGCTTCACTGAACAAAACACTGTTGAAGCTTGTTTTCAGAAGTATTACCTGGTATTTGTAATTAAACAGATGTATCTTTGATTTTCTTTTTTTTTTTTAATTAAGAGCTACGATTTCTATGCAAATGAAAAATTACATAGCTTTTTTTCCAACAAATAAAACAAAACTTCACATCTATTTGAAGCACCATACTACAGAGATTCAGCAAAGTTGTTCTAGGATCAGCTTAAAAATTACACCAACTATGTACAGATTCTGACAATACGACTCCTACAACTTCTATTCCAGTTACAGCAAAACTGTGTTTATTAAAATACACTGTACAATTTATTCATTTGCTTTTCAAAGAGTGCCTGTCAACAGCTGAACCTCAAACACGTGCACTAGTCATGAAGAGGTAGGAAAGATTTTTGGGAAACTTATCTTTTTAACAGAATCTTTGGAACTACAGGCAGGAGTTTTCTCAAACACACGTGGATGAAGTACCAAACCAAGGGGTGGGGAAGAGGTATTTTCCCTATGCCAGTTTAACAAAAAATAGAAAGTTAGTAAAAATGCAGCTCACTAGAGTATTGACTAATATTAAAAATACTTCTTTAAAACCATTTAATCATTATATTTGCACTTTTGAAACGCATATTTTTCATCTTACAAGATCTTTAAGGGTATAGGTTACTCCTGAGTTATCAACATTTCGTAACCTATGCTTTTAGAGTTTGTGAACGCTCAGATAATTACAAGCTGTGCTAAATGCTGAAGTACAGTCCTCTATCAAATGCTGCCTTTTAGTATCATTGTGCAAACACTTCACACACAAAAAATCTATCAGTCCACGATTTTGGATATAAAGCTCCCATCTTATAAAAGCCTCTGCACATGTGCATATTCACCTACTCTTCCAGAGAGAAATGTTAGAATTAGCAAGTATTTTCAAGAAACACTGAAGTTGCCATTTTAGACCCATGTTTTAGGAACATTAATACAGTGGGGTTTTTACTGCTAATGAAACTTTTTTTTGTAAGAGGCCTCCAACAGCAAGTGATGATTAAGCAGCTGATTAACTCCAAGCAGTTCTTAAACTCCATTTATTCTGATGGAAATTAAAAATGTAAATAAGAACTTCAGTGGCATTCAGTTCTGAATTTTATACCCTATTCAGCAGCTCCTATGAACAACTGGAATCAGTCCTCCAGTTGCGACGATCAAGAAACATTAAACACCGCAGGTTTAAAAACATGGAAGTCTATTTTATCATGGAAATGATAATCTGAAGGGAAATGAGAACCACAGTAATTGAATAGATGGTGCAAACAAGGCGCCAGGCTCCCAGGCTGAAACACACCGAAGCCCTGCTTGGAAAGGTGATGCAATATTGAGTCACAACCCCATTTTACGGATGATCTCTCTAATATCCACAGCTGTTAATTTGGAAAAACCGTTTAACTGTTAAC